CGCTCTGACCCCCCCCCCCCCCCCCACCCTCTCCCCATGGCAGAGGGCCTCCAGCCCTTGTAGCATCTCCGGGCCCTCCTCTGGACTCGCTCCAACCCGTCAATATCTGATGCTGAGGCCGCAAAAACGGGATAACCGTATTTTTAAACCTTGCGTACCCATCACTTTGAGCCCCACATCCCATTTTCTTAGTTTTCAGAGAAAATAAGTAAGTATTCTTACTCCTGCACCAGTTTCTGAACCCAAACTCCTCCTGGGAGACAGCAGACGTGGCTGAGTTAATGGCACTAAACCCCTCTGAACCCTTTTGTCAGCGGAAAAGCAGCTCCCAAAAGCCCCCCCGGACAAAAGCTGCTTCTCGTCGCCCCTTCGCTGTGCCCCCGGGCGTGAACCCGCGGGGATAAACCCCTCGGCATCTCCTTCGACCGCGGCAGCGAGCAGCAAATGGCCAAGAAAAGGGCAAAACGTGCTTTATCCAGTAACTCTCGCCAGGACCCGCGGTGATTCCCACAGGCAAACACGCACGGAGATGGAACAGCTCCCCGGGTCGGTGTCAGTGCACCCCCCTGGGAGGAAAAACTGTAACCACCGGGCAGCCACGGGGGAAAAAATACTCCAAGAAACCTAAAAATTATAAACAAGCCCTGGAATACAAGGGAGAACGGAAGGTTCTTGTGGCGCCGAGGCGTACGGCGAGCGTGGGGCAGCGTATGTGCATCTGTCAGGACAGGTACAAAATGAGCAGCTAAGCTCATTTTCCATGGAAAAGGTTAAAAGTCGCTATTTTCGTGCTCTTAAAAATAAATAAGAAGCAGAAGCGTCACCTCTCCTGGTCGTCCATCCCCTCCCCCGTGCCGCCGCTGCCCTCCTTCGACAGCATATCCAAACGTTGGTTGATCTTGGCGATGATGGAATCCGAGTTCTCGTTGCCCGAGCTCTCGGTGCCGTAGGAGGGGACGGGCATGGCGGCGCCGACGTCGGCGTTCATGCTCAGATCCGAGGATTTGGGCGTTTCCCAGCTGCCGGAGGTGGCGGCGGCGTAGTTGTACGTGGCCGCTGTGTTGGCAGCGGTGGTTTGGGTGTTGTAGTAGTCGTAGCCCTCATAGCCTGGCAGGAAAGGGAAAAAAATGGGAATTAACGGAGTATTCCGGACACGGGTGCCTGGGGGAAGGGTTCAGACGCCAGCGGATCCCACCAGCCAGGGCTGCCGCTGGGTTTTGCCTCTTTTAAGAGAAATCTGGTGTTGTAAAGGGGGAGATAGGAAGGAGTTTTGTTGCTGCGCTGGGTTCAGCCAGGAAGGAGTTAACTCCCTTCGCCGTGGCTGCTGGGAAGCTGTTCCTGGGCGCCGAGAG